CACTCTTTTCTGTTTGGTGTATATCCAGGAGTGGTCATAGGATAAACTCAATGTTTATTTCTGAAATGGCAAATTTGTTCAAATTTTTGAGATCCCCTGCTTTGTTGGTGACAGGTACTATGCTAAATGTTTTACATTTATAAACTCTTTTAATTCTTGCAACAAGTCCATGAAGTAGCTACTGTTACTACTCTCGCTTTACCATTGAGGAAGCAGAGACCCTTAGAGGTTAGGTAAGTAATTTACCTATGGTCACAGATCTGGTAAACAAACCCAGAGAGTCAGGCTGCAGAATATGAGCTCTTAACCATTAAGCTATTCTGCCTCCTAATCCAGCATTTGGGCGTCTCAGGTTCCATCTCTGTACTAGGTTCTTTATATTTAATTCTCATTTATTCTAACAACTCTATTATGGTAGGGTATATGATTTTTATTTAATTGATGAGCTTCTGTTGTATTTTCTGTCACTCTGGCTACCACAGTCTACTGTTGATAGCTAGCTAGCATTTGGAGAGTGGTTTGTTGACTAAAGAGAAATATTTTAGAGAAGAAGATGCTAATTCTCTAAGAGTATAGTTTTATTTGTTTATGCAAAAAACATTTAATTACCCTACTAAGAGCCAGGTAGAAGGAATAAAGGACTCTTGATTTAAAGGTGAAGAAGACATGGTCTCTCCCTTGAAGTGGTCACAGAAAGGAAGTGAGACCAAGGTCAAAACACAGGGCAGAGTGCTTAAATGCTATCAGCAGGATATGAACAAAGAGATGTGGGTACACTGAGGCTGTGTGTGTGACAGTAGGGAAGCTTCATGAAAGAGGAGGTGATATCTGGGTGGAAACTGGAAGGATGAGGAGGGTTTTGCAGGTCCAGAGGAGGCTGAAAGCATTCTAGCCAAGGGCAACGTTATGTGCAATGGCAGGGAGCTGTGGAAAGGCCTTGCTCATCTTATGAATGATGTGAAGCTCAGTACGGAGGGGGCTGGGGGTGGAGTTGAGGAAAGGTGGAAGAAAAGGGGAAGGGAGAGAAGTATGGTTGGAATGATAGAATGGACCCAGAATGCCCTAAATGTTTGATTAACTAGATTGCCTGGTTAGGAACTCAGCTGCTTTTTGGTTAAAAATCCCAGAGGTGTTAAAGGAGATAAGATCCAGCCTGTTTGTGATGGTGTATGACTTTTACAAACGGCCTGCTCTGTTATATATTTTAATAGCTCTGGTAAGAATGCTGGGAAGGGAGGTCTGGGGAGCAATAGATAGTAACTGAACCTGATAAAATTTGTAGGATATTGGCCTATCCGGACTTATCTAATAAAGTTTTATAGCTAGATGGAATTTAAAGTATTAAGTCTAATTCCATCCCTCTCTCATGCTCTCTCACTCTCAAACTCTCCTGCTCTCCAGCTCTCCCTCTCTCTGTAACAGAGGCAGGAAGTGAGGTTGGGTAAGTTAAGTGACTTCATGAAACCCATAATCTAGTTAGTGAAGTAGTGTGCTTGGAGGGATGACGAGCACAGTCTTTGAGTCAGGCAGACCTTGGTTCTAATCATGTCTTTGTAAGTGGCTGTGTGACCTTCAGCAAGTGCTTAAACGCCTCTGAGCCTTGGTTTCCTTATCTGTGAAACAATTACAGTCATCCTTCAGTATCCATGGGTTCCGAATCTGAGGATTCAATCAACTGTAGATGGAAAATATTCTAAAAAAAAATCTGGAAAGTCCCCAAAAAGCAAAACTTGAATTTGCCCTGCCCTAGCAACTATTTACATAGTTTTACATTGTATTTACAACTATTTACATAACATTTACATTGTATTAGGTATTAAAAGTAATCTAGAGATACTTCATCTGGGAGGATGTGCTTAGGTTATACACAAATACTACACCATTTTATATAAGGGACTTGAACATCCTTGGATTTTAGTATCCACTGGGGGTCCTGGTACTGAGGTACAACTGTATATCTACTTCATAGGTAGCCCCTAACATAGGGCTTATCTCTTAATAAGGGTTTAATATAATCTCTTTTCCCTTTACCCTTCCTAACAGCACAGGGTCACTGTGATAGAAGTAAAAAAGAAATCAGGAGGTCAGCTGGCCCCTCAAGCAGGGCCTCGAAGGGTACCAGAGTTGTCATGGGGTCCCTACTACTGTATTTTGTTCTGTGCTCTGTAGGGCTGAAAAGTTGACACTATTAGAACTTCCAGAGCTGACTGGCTTCTTGGGGAGAGAGTTACACTAACAAAATACACAAGCAATTGATGAATAGGTCAGAATTCAAATTAATTAACTTCTAGTGATAGATATATCTTCCCATACTGGTTCTCCCCTTCTCAGTCTCATATTTTTATCCTAAAGTAGAATAATTGGAAAGTTGTTAATTGAGAGCAGAACCTGAGCTAAGAGGGTTGGATAGTCTTCAGAAACATTTCACCCAGACTATGAGAACAAGCTGATGCCTTCACCAGGGAACCTTCTATAACAGCCTAAGCCTTTGTGTCTAGCAGACACATACTCTTAAGTGTTAGAGAAGCACAACACATTCCTACTGTAATTGCCCCATTTAGATGGTATGTGGACCATATCTTTCTATTAACACGTGCATCTTCTGAAATACTATAATCAGTTTGGCTAGAATTATCTTCAGTTGCATCCTGCTATTGAGGAAACACTCCCATTACTTTTAACTGTACTTGGCTGTTTCACAAATCTATATCAGCATCTTACCAGGGGTAAGCTCTACAGATAGCTGATGTTAACTAATTTTAACTTACAGAGTTCACCAGATTTCCTCCATTTTCTAGAGGCATCTCATTACAGACCTCTTTGTACTAGTCTCAATTATCTGTATACCCATTGCCTGATAGGTAGCATGTACTCAATAAATGTCAGTTGAACAAAGGTGAGGTTAAAAGAGAACACTAGAGAAGAGCTCAGGGAGAAAAATTTAAGTCTATTCTTTTCTCTATAGCATACTACCTCCTGTCTTTGATAGGGACATAGTGAAGGGACAAAGTAGGTAATTAAATAGTTAATCCCACTAGGGGATTGTAAGTAAAGAAAAAGGTATGGGAGACCACTCTAAGTTAATGTTCACTCAATCAAGCAGGCCTGCGTAGCAACAAAACTATGCAACAGAAGCATGAGACGTGCCCCAAAACAATAAAACAATGGTGGCATGAGACCCACATCCTGCCCAGTGAGCTCAGTAAGCTGATTCCAAGGGCATGCTTCTCTCCACACACTAAAAACAAAGAAATATAAGGAAAGGGTGACATTATACTGAAACCTGAGATCATTTACCATTTTTAGTAAATGAGCGCCTTTTGGCTCATTTCCATTGCACCATGACAGTCCCAACTTGACCAAGTAGGGACAAGAGCCTCCCTCCCCCCCCCCCCCCCCCCCCCCCCCCCGCCACGTGGAGGAGGAGCTGATGCTGGAAGTTTGACGTCTACTCAAGAATGAGGAAGAAGGTGGTCTTTTTCCCCTCCCCACTTTTCCTTTGATTATAAAACTGTAGCCCACTAAGTTCTCGGAGCACGGCACCCTCTCACCCAGCCACTTGGGAAGTCTCAAGTCTCACAAGTGTCCTATTCTAATAAATCACTTATATGTCACTTTGCCTCTCGCTGAATTCTTTCTGCGCTGAGACATAAAGAACTGAAGCTCCTCGGAGGCCCCAGACGCATTTCAGCGGTTTCAGCTTTATGGGATATTCAGGAAAGGGTGAAAATGGGGTGGGGATGTAGAACTCCCAGGGATGGGAAGCTGAGGAGAAAGAAATGGAACTTTCAGGAAAAATTTCTATGGAAGGTAGGTGGAGGATTACACAAACGAGTCTCTAGGGGCTGTTGCTGAAGTCTAAGAGAGGCAAACAAGAGGATCATGGAGGAAAAGGCTGAAGTTAAATAAGTAACACTGGATATGCTGTTGAGATGCAGGGAACAGTGGATTCTGGCTTAGGTACCTGGAAGATTGTTGGTGCCATTCAGGTAAAGAGAGCAAAGGGCGGTGGGGGGGGTGTTTGGATGAGTTTGCTTTTGGATAGGTCGAGTTATTGGGACAAACAGGTTGAAGTATCCAGTCAGCAGTCACGTATATGGGTCTGAGCTTCTGAAACAAATTTGGGTGTTAGTTGAAAGCATGGAGTTGGGTAAGGCTCTTCGGGGAGAGTGAAGAATGGAGGAGTGTGGGGGAGGGGCGAGTAGGGGGGCAGAGCCCAGCTGGACACCGGGATTTAAAGACGGGCAGAGGAATTTGGTGTTGCCAGAGTTGAGGGGTGGGGGTGGGGAAAAATAAAATTAAATAAATAAATAGGTTAAAAAAAAAAGGGCAAAGGAACAGAAGCAGGATGAGGAAAGACGAAGGGCGACATTTTGAAAGCCAAGGGAAAGCCGCCTTCAGCTTCAAGGCGGTTTTGGACGCCGCCGGGAGGTAAAGAGGAGGATAACTAATTCTATGCTAGGTCGGTCAAACTGGAGTCCGAGGAGCAGTGGCAGGTGGCATGGGGCTAAGCCACACTGCAGGCAACGAGTAAATTGAAAGGGGGAGGCCTTAGTAGTACTATATTCTTTAAGAAGTTTAGCTTTGACGAGCCAGAAAGGGAGGGACTTGGAGGGTAATTTAGGGCTCAAGGGGATAATCAGCTTCAGAATTCGGTACCCTTGAGTGGGAGTAACTCTACATCTGCCGGAGGCTCTCTGCAGTCCTTTTGGGTCCTTCTTGGGATTTCCCTTGGTGAAAAAAAACCTACCACTCTTAAGTTGGAAAAAACCTGCCACTCAATAAAAAACAGAACAGCGTGTTGTTTGAAAACCTTCGCTTTAAAAATCCTGGCATGCAAATAAGGGGCTTTAATATGGTTCACAGCGATTGGTAGGTACTTACCAAGGCCGTCATTTCCTCGTAGTACAAGATGCAAACGAAGAGTCTGCTTTCCGCTTTCCTATTGGCTGTTCGATCGGACTCAGCTTTTAGCCAATCAAACCACTTCGCTTCACCCCTCCCGGTAGCTCTTATAAATTACATCAAATTGGTTATCCTTGCCACATCCTTCTCTTTGAAAAAGAAGCTGTAACTGCATTTTTAGCCGTAATGTCAGGACGCGGAAAGCAGGGAGGCAAAGCTCGGGCCAAGGCCAAGTCGCGCTCGTCCCGCGCTGGCCTTCAGTTCCCCGTGGGGCGAGTGCACCGCCTGCTGCGCAAAGGCAACTACGCTGAGCGAGTGGGGGCCGGCGCGCCAGTGTACCTGGCGGCTGTGCTGGAGTACCTGACCGCGGAAATCCTGGAGCTGGCCGGCAACGCGGCCCGAGACAATAAGAAGACGCGTATCATCCCTCGCCATTTGCAACTAGCCGTGAGAAATGATGAAGAGCTCAACAAGTTACTCGGGGGTGTCACAATTGCCCAGGGCGGCGTCTTGCCCAATATCCAGGCAGTCTTGTTGCCCAAGAAAACGGAGAGTCACAAGCCTGGCAAGAGTAAGTAATTTGGAGGCTTGACACCAACCCCACTCACCCCAAAGGCTCTTTTAAGAGCCACCAAAGTGTCAAATGAAGGGCTGATCACGAAACAGCGCATTAGCTCTTTTTTTGAAAACTTGGGTGGCTCTAAAAAGAGCCTTTGGTCTTTGGTTCACTTTGTCTGGATTTATTTGCTTTTGGCTTTGTGGCTTTCAGTTTTCTTTGGTAATAGAACGGCCTGGATATTGGGCAAAACGCCACCCTGGGCGATGGTGACTTTGCCCAACAGCTTATTCAGTTCCTCGTCGTTGCGGATGGCCAGCTGCAGGTGACGAGGGATGATGCGCGTCTTCTTGTTGTCTCGGGCCGCGTTGCCCGCCAGCTCCAGAATTTCGGCGGTCAGGTACTCGAGAACTGCCGCCATGTAGACGGGCGCGCCGGCCCCCACCCGCTCGGCGTAGTTGCCTTTGCGTAGCAGACGGTGCACTCGCCCCACCGGGAACTGCAGACCTGCGCGGGACGAGCGCGACTTGGCTTTGGCACGGGCCTTGCCTCCTTGCTTTCCGCGGCCAGACATAACTGAAAATAATGCTACAAGGCCTAGAGCTCAGGTTCTCGCAACAAACAGGATTGAAAGAGCACCGACTGGAAAGCTTTTATAAGCTTTCCTAGGGGTGGGGTCAGGAACGAATTTTTCATTGGTCCTAAATTGGCTCCAGAAATGGCCAATAAGGTCAAGAGTCGGTGTTGTTACGTAGCTATTACTGATAACGCAAGGTCTCTACATGGCCCAATGGAAACGTAAGACTTTTGGAGCCTTGATTTGCATACGGTGGTTATAAAAGGATCAGGCCCGCCCATTCTCATGCTACTTTTCCTTGCTAACGGGTGTTGTATTCTACAATGCCTGAGCCGGCAAAATCTGCTCCCGCGCCCAAGAAGGGCTCGAAGAAAGCTGTTACCAAAGCTCAGAAGAAGGACGGCAAAAAGCGCAAGCGCAGTCGCAAGGAGAGCTATTCCATCTACGTGTACAAAGTGCTGAAACAGGTGCATCCGGATACCGGCATCTCGTCCAAGGCCATGGGCATCATGAACTCGTTTGTCAACGACATCTTCGAACGCATCGCGGGCGAAGCGTCGCGCCTGGCGCATTACAACAAGCGCTCGACCATCACCTCCCGGGAGATCCAGACGGCCGTGCGCCTGCTGCTGCCCGGCGAGCTGGCCAAGCACGCCGTGTCCGAGGGCACCAAGGCGGTCACCAAGTACACCAGCTCCAAGTGAGTCCCTGCCGGGACGCGGCGCTCGCACAAGTCGCCGGGCCGCTTGACTTTCCAAAGGCTCTTTTCAGAGCCACCCACCTTATCACCAGAGAAGAGCTTTGTTCACTTGGTTTCTCTCAGTCTCTTCTCACAAAGTAAGTTGCAGTAGTTGGATGAAAGTAATGGCAAATGGCACACGTAGCTTTTTAGGCCCTTATGACTTGAGGTTCTTGGCGCGTGACTGGCTTTGCTTTTGAATCTAGGCCGAGTCTTAACCCCTCACTGTGCTGCTTAGTTTTCTTATGAGTCAGTCAGTTCTAAATTAGGATTCTGAGACTGCTCCTTCCCACCCTCTGCTTGTAGACTGTTGTGTCCTGGTGGCTCTGTTAGGTACGTTTCATCGGTGTTCTAAAACGAAGTGAGTGATTTCGGCCATCCTCATTTAAGAAAGGACCCCAGGATGTAAGTAAGCCCGAGTCCTGCGAACACTGCATCACAGCCCTGAAGAATTCTCCCGAGAGTTTGGCAGCTGCTTGGGTGCCCAGTCACCAGTTACGCCCTGCGACGTGACCTCCTGTGGATACCAGTAGTTCAGGGTATTTAGGACGGAACCCGCGCTGCCTGGTCTCAGCCTTTCCGTGATTGGACGACATGAATATTCAAAATCTCGCGCCGCTCCAGAATTCATAGATTCTGGTTTCCACCCCTCACTTTGGTGCTTTGAAATCCCTGTTATTTTTTGGTTTGTGGATCATTTTTGCATTTAATTCTCATCTTGGAATGTTTCGGCCTCAAGTAACTGTAAGGCACTAGTCATTTTAGTCTGGGCTCAAACGTCACCTCTCAGAAACCTTCCCAAGTCATCCACTCAGGAGTTTGCGCCTCTCCTTCCTGCCTGACCTGGGCCCTCACTCTATTTTATCTTCCTCCTAGCAGCGGTCAGAAATTGTCTTGTTCATTTATATTCTTGTTTACGGTCTTTCTCCTCAAGCCCTTAACAGAAACTTTGCTGGTCTGGTTTTCCTCTATATCGTCAGTGCCAACCAGTACTGGGAACACAGTGGACACTTCAGTACTTATTGAATTAATATTTGTTGAATTAATTTTGCTGTCCCACTCCTTTTTTAATCGCTTCCGTGGATGGATGGGTGCGGTTCATCTTCATTAGATGTATGTGAAGACGTGATGAAAATGGAAATGTTTTTGGAGCTCCTTCCCCAAGTCTGTCCGTGGTCACCTCAGGGCAACAGCTGGGAGGAGGACTTTGTTAAGATTTTTTTCTTTCTTCTTTTTTTTGCTTTAAGGGGGAGGTGGCAGTTTTGTCCCTCCTTTATACTTCTCAGTTTGGCCTAATCTCTTGGATTTTCATTAAATTCAGAACATTGGTCACTGGAAATCCTTTTCCTTTCTCTGTTTATGACATCCTTCCATCCTGATCCTTTGTTCCTCACGGAGATGAGCTTTTAATTTATGTTCACCATCTCATTTGCTTTTCAGGAGACCCTATACGATAGACAAGATTAATATCCCTTTAAAAACGAGATTGAGAGAAGCGAAGTGATTGGTCCACTGGTCATGCAGCTAACCTTGTCCACCTTTGTATCCTCAGATGCGAGGACAATTGTATTTTAGTTTCACTTCATGTAATTACAGAATGTTGAATCTTTCTGTCCAAGCCTTGATTTTTCTGATAAAGACACTGATGGTCTGATGAGTTATTCAACTCTGCTTTTGGATAAGGGATCCTGGAGTTAACTGGGCTCCAGACATTATCAGAGACTGAATAAATCTTATGTTTCTTACATGTGTGTTTTCAGATGTGTGTAGATGCTATTGTTATTAATAAAATTACCAGTTAATTTAAAAGCTTGGCTGGATTATTGTATCTGCAATATAGTTTTTAACTAAATGAAATGAACAGATACAACCACTACTGGGTCTGTGGAAAAGCTGAGTGCCTCTGACTTGGAAGATGAATATTTATAAACCATCACCCAAACTTACTTCTACTCCAGAAGTGCACGGGGGCTGAAATAGCCTGTTATGAGGACACTGTTAATGCTCAGTAATTGGAAAATACATGACCACAAAACCAAACAAAAATCACCACAAACAAGAAGCACTATAAACAAGATAGAAGAAATAAAGTCCTTAAGAAAGTTTATAACACCTGCAGAGTACTCACTGTTTGCCAGATGATGTTCTAGGTCCTTTACACATATTGACTCATTTAATCCTCACAAGAACCTTATGAAATAGTTACCATTATTATGTCCCATTTTACAGATAAGGAAACTGAGGCATAGAAAGGCTTCTTCTCGGAAACTCTCCAGAGAATAAACTCTTGGTTCAATGTTTAACGGACCTGAGAAAGTAAGATCCCTCTCCGAAAACCTGGATTTTGGGGGAAATATTTATGCTTTAAAATTAAAATATAAAGAAATACCGCCTGCTTTTTTTTAGCATGCACCTTGGATATAAGTCTATGGTGGTGGCTGAAAGTCTTGGGTGGGGTGCTCTCATTCTCCATTCCAGAAACCATAGTTCAGCTCAGTTTTATTTGTCCCCGTAGTTGTAAGGCTCACCAGCTGAAATACTTTTACTAATGTGAGAGAGCTTTGGTTACTGACCGTGGGCTCCTCCCGTGTTTACTAGGAAGTTACAGAGTGAGAAAGGGGAAGGAGGTGTTAGAGTTTGGTATTTTAACTCTGGAGGAGAGGTGATTAATGATGGTGAGGTTTATCCTCCTAAAGAAACTCTTTGATCTTTCTCCTTCTCAAACATCTGTATACATTTGCTTAAGTTGGAGTTAATAACAATACTTGTTATAATAATAATTGCTTCTACTTCTTGAGCACATAAATATTTACCTTGTCCTCTGCTAAGTGGTTTACAAGCATTGTCTCATTTAATCTTCACAGCCACCACTTAAGATGGGTTTCATCCTTATTTTATAGGTAAAGGAGATTGAATTTCAGAAAAGTTAAATAACTTGTCCAGGATTGTTTAGGAAGTAAATGGTGGAACTACAACCCAATGCACACTTTTAAAAAGCTTGATATTCAAGGCCCTCCATAATCTGCCTCTTCCTTCTTCCACAGCTCTATCTCCTACTGCTATACAGGATTTCTGCTCTAGTTAACATGGTCTAGTCACCTTCCCCTAAACCCGTTTGCTCTTTCTCAGGGCTAGACTGGACTGCCCCTTCTTTCTGGCTTGGCCAGAGCTTTCTTTCAAGCCAAGGCCATAATATTCCACCTCAAATGACACCTCTCAACTAATTTCTCTACCACCCTCATCTCTTCTTTGAACAAACAAACGAAAACAAAAAAAACTTAACTGAGGTATAATTGGCATACAATAAACTGTACATATTTAAAGTATACCTTAAGTTTAGACATACATGTATACCTATGAGAACATGAGTACAATAAAAATAATGGACATATCCATCCACCCCCCCAAAAAAGGGTTTCCTAGTGCCCCTTTATAATTCTTCCCCCCGCTCCCTTCACCAATGTCCTCCTTTGGCCCCATCCTTGCCCTCAAGCAACCACTGGTTTGCTTTATGTCATTATAGGTAGTTTGTATCATACAATGTATCATTTGTATCTGGCTTCTTTCACTCAGCAAAATTGTTTTGAGATTCGTATATATTTCGGTGCATGTATCAGTAGTTCATTCCTTTTTATTGCTGAGTAGTATACCATTGTATAGCCGCAACTGGTAATTCAGTTACTTGTTGATCGATAGTTGTGTTGTTCCCAGTCCTTCCTCCAGTTTTTTTTTCTTTTTTTTTGGCTGCGCCCACATGGCATGAGAGATTTTAGTTCCCCGACCAGGGATTGAACCCGCACCCCCTGCAGTGGAAGCGTGGAGTCTTAACCACTGGACCGCCAGGGAAGTCCCCTTCCTCCACTTTTTCATGCACTCCAACTTTGTGTCGTGTTGGTTCCACAGATGAGCACAATAAACTTTCTGCTTTCAATTGGGAAGGAACTCAGATGGTGGATGAGCCATATACACAGATACTTATTCAAGTGGGAGAAAGTATTAGGGTTTCACTTTTGTTCTCCGAGGCTCAGAACGTCTCTAATCCATTTTATGTCCTGTGGCCAGAGTAGTCGTCTAAAGCACAGACGGTGGCCTACCTCTCTGACTCAGTTTGGCCTTCAAAAGAAAAACATGAGAGTAAAAAATGTAAAACTATCAGCAGTTCTTATACCATATTTGGTCTCACAGCATGGTCTGGGGAACTCTGCTCCTTTAAAACGGAGGCTAACATAGCTCACAATATGGCTAATCAGTGGTTGTGGCACAGGGAGGAAGCCTGAGGGGCAGCTCTGTTCAGGTTTCAGACACTGACCCTTAACTGGAAGACCGTCCCT